TATTTCCACTATTTTTTTTTAAAACTTTTAACATGTTTCGCTAAACTTTAGCTTCATCAGAAAGATTTAAAAAAATTAAATGTAGACATAAAAGTGAAATTGACAAATATGTAATATTGTTCTACCTTATTCCAAAGGATAATAGGGTCAAAAATGACGTAAATGCTTCGAGATCTCGCTTCATAAAAGTAGGAAAACGCCTTTAGAAAATATGATTAGAGACAGATAGAGTTCAAGTTGGTTGCGCCCCAATCGAAATTTTTCTTAAATTTATTTATGCTTTCTAAGAAAATGCGAAATTTGGCGGAGGGGTACACCTACAAAAAACGATGGTCATCTAAGTTAGCGTTCTACAGGCACTCCAAAAGTGGAAAAATTCAAAATCCTCAAGAGTTCCAAACAATGACGTATAACGGATATGAGCATGTTCTACCAACCAAATTTGAGAAGACTCTATCGACAAAACACTAACAGCTGTTCCGGAGGCCGCTGTCTTAAAGTTTTGATTGCGCTGCTACCTTTCTCTTAGACATGGACCATGATAGAGAACATCTATGATAGACATATCTTAGACCAATAAAAAAAAAGAACTCACAGGAGTGAACAAAAAAATAAATCATCTACCTAAAGTGGGCATCGAAGAATTGGAAGCAAAAAGTACAAATAACCATAATTCTAGAGTTGAATCCAAATTGCGGTTCAAGTGCTTATCACCCATCAGACAATGTTTGAATACTGGAATAAGGAAAGCAAGGCCAAAATAATTTTGTATCATGGTAAAGTTACATTGATTGAAATAATTGAAAAATTATGAAATGGCGGTTTTGTGCCAATAGAAGACAATAAAACTAAAACCGTTTTTTTTCCCAAAAAAATCTCGTATGAATTCGTTAAAATCCGAATATGCGACGATATTTCAGGAATTCACTATTAGCCTTGCTAAAATAATGAAAATATGTCGTCAGCTGCGAATATTTTATTAATATGAAACATTCCAGACTAAATTAAATTTCATTTACTTAAATCGACGACCCTCTAAAATAGTTGTGGCCTGGCCTGCTGATGTATTGCAGATACGATCGAAAAGGGGTTCATTGGGACTTTATTTTAAATCGAACACATTATTTCATTTCGTATGACCAGTTAGTTGATGTTCCTTGTACTAATATATTATTGATTTTGCTGATCCACCATGGACCATTCGAATAATGTTTTTTATGATTTTTCAATTTTCGGAAAATTTGAATTCACAATCGATATAATTGAATGTACAAGTTTCTGGAGACAGTGCCAACTTTATCCTGAAGCTAACGTCCTAAAATTACGAATCGAAAATACAGTATTGCCAATGCATGGCTGTACGTTTTGTCTTTTTCATGTCTGTCATTTTTTTCTTTAAATGTGTAAACTTTATTTGGCACCAAATTGCTTGGTAGAATATCAATAAATATTTCATCAAAAGCTTCAATTATTATATTATGCATCTAATTGATTCATTGATTTGATAGGAGCCCGTAACTTTTAAGAAAGGTGCAGACCCGCACAGACCGGACATGCTTTATTTCATAAAGTTCCGAAAACTGTTCCCAAGATCAAGTAGTCTGCGACTGACGACGGCTTCACATACGCAAACTATATTATTGGTAGTTTAATCTACTTCGTTGTAGAACCTGAATTCGGTCCCATTACTCAGTCCGATGTTATGCAAGTGGTATCTGACCACCCAGTGCCTCGTCAAGATGCCGGTGATGGCTCTTAGTTGGCTCTAAACAAAAGCAAACAAGTTTAGTTTTAAGAGGCTTTTTGCCTCTTTGCAGTCTTAGAACCGGTTCTCGAACCAGTTTATGATATTGGTTGTCACCAGGCAGCAAGCAACCCCAAGAGCAGGCTCGTTCCCAATAAAGGCAGTGTTGCTACTTTGACGAGTCAGCTGGTCCGCCTCCTCGTTGCCTTTTATGCCCCTGGGACCTGGGACCCAAACAAAGATGACCTTGTTGAGATCACTGAGTAGTTTAAGGATTGTCATACAGTCAAGCGTGAGCCTCGAGTTGGCCTTGTCTGAGCAAAGGGCTCGGAGTGATGGCTGCCTTTTGCTGCATATATCAATATGCCTGAGCATATACCTGTATGACGTAGATCTCAGTCTGGTATACCGTTGGGTATCGACCCTGTCCAAGACTAATTCTTGCTGCAGGTCTCTTCCCATATACACCAGCCCCTGTACCATCCCCCATCAGAGACCCTTATATGTGCCAGATGAGCTCCGTCGGCTCGAGGAAGCCTGGTTCAGACTATATAGCCAGTTGTCCCTTGTAGGAATGACGACCTAGTATTATCTAGGGGCTGCTGAAGTTTTAGGCATTGCATCTCTTCTAGTGAGAAGGGGGTCCTGTCTGATGGTGTCCGTCCACTCCCTTGCATGTCCGATACTCAGCCCTCTGTGAACCCATAGTCTCCAATCGTTGAGTCTGACAAAAGCCTCCCGGGCCGCGTAATTCCGAACCCCCGTTGATTTCAGAGCAACATTGTTCTGAAATGAACTTGGGTTTGTTATTCAATAATGCCATTCATCGTCTTCCAAACCTCAGCGCGGTGCAGACAAGATGCATTCGGTATTGGGTGGGGGTTTGCAAGACGTAACGCTCTGTTTTTTTTTTCTACACCTTTGCAAATGCCAATTCAGTACAAAGTATGTAAACGTTGGATAAACGATTGTTTTCCCTTGGAATAAAAGGTCTTGCACTTAGCTAATTTGCGGTTGGTTTATGTTCTATGAGTTGTTGTTTTTGAGGGTGTTTAGTGGTTACCGAGGTGGTAACCGTTTTGTTGTGCCTACCCTACACAACAAAATGAGGGAAGAAGAAGTAGTTAAGTTACTAAATACTTTATGATATGAATATAAACTGCTATAAACAAAAACTGAAAATGATAGTTTTGAATCTGTTGTGCAGAAAAACTTTTGTGTCATGAGACTTATGATAACAAATGTGACGAACGGATTAAACATTTTTCACAATTAACAAGTAGAAATTGGATTACAAAGCTACGTGACATGAATAAACTACTTTAAGATGATTTAAATTTCAAATAATATGGAAGAAAATTATAAAGGTTTGAAGAAATAGGGAATACCTTTGTACCTACTGCAATAACTTGCAGTAGTTCACAATAATCACAATGGTTTGCAATAGGTACCTTGAAACATTCGGCAATAGATTGCAATAGTCTACAATACTTTCACAATACCCTGCAATATCTGAGTATTACACAATATATGTACAAAAAAACTACAGTGAAATAACCCTCGATTTATACGGAACGTTCTTTTGTATGATGTGTTGATTTTGATTTTTTAGTATTTTGTATCTTTTTCCTTTTTTTGAAGTAGATAATAATTATTTTACTTGTAGAATATTTCAGTATAAAATAAAATAATTTTTCATTTATATTACAATATATTGTTTTATTTTTATGGCATTTTATCAAACAGTAGATATTAGGTCTGTTTCCGCAGAAATCACAAACCAGTCAGAGCTAATTTCTTTAGTTGAAAACAGTCAGAAAACTAGTTTCAACCAATGAAATTAACTGAGACTGGTTTGTGATTTCTGCAAAAACAAATCTAATATTATGGACGGCGCCCGCACCGACGACGCCGTTCTGAATTACACTTGGTTTCGTAGTATAATGACCACAGTTAAGTGGTACAAAATACAGTCAGTCATAGACGCGTGTATTCTCTGTAATGCTCTGAATCACACGTGGATTTGGAGTAAGTACTTTTGCGTTTGCGTTGTACAAACCAGAGTTGAGTACAGAATATTTAACGTTATGTGACGCTCTGTACTGCACTGTGGTTCGGAATTACGCTCCCGGGCCCGTGCCCCATTCACAAAGAGATGATGCAGCTAATTAGTAAATGACCATTTTCCTTATTTTTGAAATATGTACTAGTCATAGTTATCAAACTACTAAACATTTCCAACATGATAGCTAAAGTTGAAATGTATCCCTAGTGTACCTACGATTGTTTGTTTATTAAAAGCTGAGAATTATTTGATGAAGTTAGAAAATGTTAGGGGAATAAACAAAAGAGAGAAAGAGGATTATTTTGGTTTCAGATGTCCTTTAAAACGATAGCACAAACATAAAATGTTTTTCCCAGAGCGGATTAGGAAAAAAAATTTACATTTAGTCTATTTTCAAGTTTTATTTAGATAATTGAAAGCTTACCCCAAGATTTTGCTTCCACTGACATATAATATGTTTAGACTAATTACAAGCTGTTGCAGTTCCTGTGATTGAACTGTTGCAACTCCTGTGATTGTTGTCGTCATTATCGCCTTATGTTAACAATCAATCTATCAATTTATTAAGGTTGTTTGATGTAGAAGACCCCCGATTGGTCTATAGGGTCTTAAATAATATATAATTGTGTGATTAATTATTATGGATAAACGTTACTTGGTTAAATTTTATAATAGATATGCAGAATTAATTATTAAACCTACACAACTGAATAAACCAAAAAAATAAAAGATTTTCCATGCTTGAAACACGTAAAGTGTGAAATGTATTTTAAAAATATTTAAATGCCTGTGTAGGTACATACATGACTAAACATAGCGAGGTGTATTTTTGGAAATGTTTAAAAATACGTTCCGCTAAAAATTTGAAATTTAATTCCTGTTGCATATAAAATCGATGGTTAGCTAATCAGTTATATTATGAAAAAGTGACATGTCTTTGATCGCTATTTAAATGAAAATTTCTATTATCCTTATAAAATTTTCAATAACATCAATGCCAAGGACTTCCCATACAAAAAATACGACTAGGATCCGTCCGTATATTATTAAAGTCGATCTTAGTTTTTGGTCAACGGGTAATAATTTCAATATGGCGCGAGTCATTCGGCTCGATTTTTTATTGAAATCCCCAGAGACAATTTCGAGACGAAATCATTCTCAATATGTAGAGGAAACATTTATGAGCTTTACCTTCGGTAAAAATGGGCTGCAATAGAGTGCAAAAAAGGAAGAATGCTTGCGTCGCTGTCATGTCGGAAAACTGAGGGAAACGGGGTCTATTTGAGGCTGCCATCTTTGATTTCGATAAGCGATGTGCGTCTTTCTACCATTCCTGAAAATTGAAAGAAAAATCCTCAATTACTTGAAAGAAATAATTAAATTTTTTACTTTTGTAAAAATATAAACTTAAAATAAGATACCTATTGCATAGTTCAAATATTGTGAAAATAGCAAACTTAGCACCTTTTATTTACCTAATAATAATTTCAGTGAGATAGTGTCGAGTTTCTGCAACGCTAAGAACGGTCCGAAACATTCTTTTTATTTTTAATTCGAAGAGTGTCCAAACTTTCATTAGTCTTAAAAGGTCTTAAGAAGGTCCTTAATCATAAATTAAAACTTCGGCAAATTGAAAAATAATGTAGCCTCGTAGATCTGCTAGGTAAAAATGATGATTGACATAAAGTATGCCATTTTCCATTTGGTTTCACAACAACATATTTTTTGCATTCTGTTGAAGGTAACAAAATAAAATTGTTAATTTTGTTACAAGATTCGAGCTGGGTAATTGGTTGACTCAAAAAAAAAATTGAAATCCTGTTGAAAGATGATTGTAAAAAGATTATTCGAACCGCTAGAGTTAAGTACGAATAAAGTAGTGATTCCAAAACAGAGGGATATTTTAATTTACTTAATTACTCCAGCCAACGAAATTAAATTCAGCATACCTATCTACAATCTCCAGCCTTTTGCCACATTGGAAAATATCCAAGTTAACGCATAATCCAAATATTCGGAAATATAAAATCAAATTTCGTCTCTCTGATGTTGCAAAATAATATCCGCGAAGTTTAATATGTATATCGGCGATGGCCTCAAAATGCTTACATATTGTAAAATTGTTCAATTTAACGGATTTTGTCTTTCTAAAATGTCGTCTCGTACCTTTACATCAAAATCTCAAACAAAACTTCGGCAGTCGTGAACAAAAATAAAATATAAAAGCTGAAAATACGTGAGCAATATTTTACTGCTAGATAGGATTGTATTTCTATGCTTTAAAGTGGGATATAAATATACTGAGAAATTTTATTTATCGATCAAGAACAGTACAATAGAGGGTAAGTCGTGTTTTCAACAAAATATGTTATATTTTGTGTATTAAAGACAAGGGAATCTAACAAAATCCTTAGAGTCCACTTAAATCAATCACGAGCTTAACATAGACTTTGGGAATTTTTTTTTTACTCATTATCAGAGAACGCCAGAATCTCAGGAAGTTCCAGATCCTTCTTGGCTAAAGATTATCAGTTATCGTTATGGTACATTTTGCTTCAACGTAACATAAACATATATATATGTTATGCATCACGGGGTCCCAATTGCAGCCCTACAACAGGTGTGGTTGAACCTGCCGCCGCTACATATCTACATGCAGGGTGAAGTGAAGGCAGTACGTTATAGACAAACAAAGCCAAAGTGCGATTATAAATCACCAAAGGAATCTGGTACACCGTCGGCTCTAAAACCAACAAGGAGGTCAGAGCTGGCATCTACGGGGCAGGCTCAGATTGAACATATCCATAAGCCTCGGACAGTGCGCCACGGTGTTTTAGGTGGAAATCGTTGCAATAATGCACTGTGCAGTACTGAGAAAGGAAAAAGTAAAAAAGAGTGGAAACAATGTCATTCACTCGGACAGTCAAGCGGACGTTAAGGAAATCGGCTCTTAGAAGATCAGCTCCAAACTGACCAGAGACTGCATACATGCCCTAGAGAAGCTGGGCTTGTCCAACAAAACTGCTGTAGCGTGGGTACCAGGCCATGAGGACCACCTAGGCAATGAAGAGGTTGACGACTTAGCTTAAGCAGGCTCAACCACCCAAAGGATAGGCCCAGAACCATTGTGCGGAATCTTAACATGCCTCCTCAAAACATCTGTCAAGAACTAAATAGACAGAGAATTCCAGAGCTGGTGGCTGCAAACACCAGGATTCCTACAATAGGCAAAACATTTCATCAAATTCTGCTCGCCCAAGTTCACATCATCTACTAAGCGACATCCGTAAGGTTGTAAGGATAATGGTGGGTCAATCAACAGGACATTGCAGACTCAAAAAGCATCTGGAAAGAATGATAGCCTATGCAGGTTCTGCCAGGAGGCGGAAGAAACTGCCGTACATGTGTGGTACCATTGCGAAGCGTTGTGCAGGCTCAGGTTCACAAAACTTGGTGAGGAGAGGCTCAAACAGGCAAGCTATATAGAGTGGTCAGTTTCATGGCTCTGGACTCGAGTTATCAGAAAGACGGATTTGTACAACGCATTCTAAGGTCAGACAGGAGATACCACAATAAATCTGACAAGGTTACAGTGGTAGAGGTCGCTTCTGCACCATCTCCGTTCAATTAATCTAATCTTATCTAATCTAACATAGGTAATAATTTTCTTTTAATTGCACCTACACACTTTTGGTATTATAAATACTAACAAGTTTCCAAATATTGTTTAGTTCACCCAAAATACTCATGAATAGTTGCTTTCTCAAAAAGCTAGAGATATTATTATATCATATTTTTATTCGCTTCATTATTTCTTTGATGTGTTTGTCGTTTGTGCTCAAATTCTGGGGTCGTATTTTCGAAACCATGCGAATTCTTTCGCATGCGATTTAATTCGAATGAAAAATGTCGTGTACGAACTAAAATGCGTATTTTTGAAGACCCTTCGAAAATTATATCGTATACGAGTATTATTTGCGTTGACAACGTCGCAAATTCGAGTATTTGATAATGGCCATTTCGACAGATACAAACACGAAGAAGATTTTTTTGACATCTAACTTTTTAAATGCTGGTATTTATCTTGCTGAAATAAATTTCGTGCACCTAATCGTTGGGATTTCCTATTTAGAACATCCTTGCTTTTATAACGTTAATGAACAATCATGGTTTTTGGATGGGGCTCTAAAAGCTCTATCAACTCCAAGGTGAGTAGCTTCGTCAGGCGATATAATTTTCGGACCTAAGTACCTACCTACACCAATATTCTTCCAGCGGATCAAGAAAGGGATGTAACACCCTATCCCTACGATCTGCCAGTATTTTTGCATCTTCGAGGGCATCAATAACATTTCCTTCGATTAAATAATCCAAGCTAGCCATTCCAAAAACTGTCTTTTAATAAAGCAAAACTATTTAATTCACAAATTATTTGGAAACGAATGGAAAGTCGAAAGGAGAAGGAACAACGAACACAATTTTCAATTTGCACAACGTATTTAGGTACTTAAACAACAAATGTAACATATATAAGCAAAATAAGCACTTCAAAATTGCAAACAATGCGCAGAATGAACTAAAATCGAATGTGAAATGTGAAATTCGACTGGTGGAGACCCACTCGAGTAAACGTACACGAACCAAATCGTGTACGGACTGTTCGAAAGCGATTCGAAAATACGGAAATTCAATTTTCATGCGAATTTCGCCTTATTTCGTAGACGAACGGCATTCGAATGGTTTCGAAAATACGACCCCTGAAATCGATTTTTGAATAACTTATGTTCATTCATTGTTAATACAACTGTTGTATACGAATTTACAACTATACAGGGTGTTCCGAAATTGATCCATCAAATTTTTATGGCATATTCTACGTCGAAAATAAGCCCTAGTTTCCTATATATAAACATATGTCCGAAAAGGCTTCTTTTCCGAGATACAGGGTGTTGAAATTTTAAATTAATTTCGAAACACCCTGTATTAGGTATATAAGTACATTATTTTCGCCTTACTTGCCCTCTTACAACATAAATAAATTTCAACATTCTCAAACACTTTGCTTGACATATTATGAAACGAAAATATAGAAAATTTGCAATATTCCCTAAGTAATTGCCTGAATCGCTTAGTTTAGGTCAACTAACTTAGGTCCAAAGCAACATTAAAACTTCTCAATTTTATTATCAGAAATATCCCCTTATCAGCTGTCTCGATGCTCTCGAATTTATCTACCATATCGAAACTCAATAAACTATCTTGGAGGTTAATCAAAACTTTACTACCGGAACCACGTGAATAACTTCGGAAACCGGAAATTTTTTAGAACATTGCATGTGAAATTTCATAGTGATCACATAGAGTTAAAAGAAAGCTTTGGTAACTTTTTTGGGATGTGTTCAAAACATTTTAACTTTGTATAAAATTACCTCTGCTAAGTGGAATGTTTTTAAAACTTATAAATTTATAGGAATTATAATCTAAGGGTGCTAATTTATATACCCCACTGCCTAAGAATTTTTATCTGCGTTTCTCTTCGCAAAAGTTCCCTAAGAAATTTCTAATGTGGAGAGAAAAACTTCTGAGGCGTGTGAAAACAATCAAGCTCCTGTGCGAAATACAAGGAATTCCAAAATAATAGGCCAGTCACCAAAAGTCGTCAATAACGTTCCATTTTTATCTGGTGAAGATATTAAAAACAAAATCCCCAAAATTCAAAAGACAAGGCCTGCCATTTCACCGCGAAAAGTCGAAGAAATTTATTGGATTAACAGACAGGGACTATTTCACTTTACATTCGAAAGAAATTCAATATATACCATTTGCCTGACACATTTTCTATTTTCTTGACAATACAACCTCCATGAATGTTAAAATGAAAATAAGAGAAATACAGGCACATCGATTAAGTTTCATTTCCGGCATCAGACTGTAAAAAAACAACACAAAAAGAACCATGAAATTTCTCAAGAGTAAGTAAATGTTTCAATATTTCTAATTTAAACCAAGCGCTGTTTCTAGCAAGTTGAATGCTAATGTTACGCATAAACGAGTCTGATAATCCTGTAAACTTTTATTTTCATACAAAAAAAAATTGATATTCACTATGCGGGATTTGGGCATCGCCAACCGAAAAATAATAATGCGAAACAAATTTCATTATTAAAAATGTCAATCTTAGTAGCTTACTAGGTTTTATGTGAGTGGTCCATGTCGGCCGTTCTACCTGGGGTCTATTGTGGCTTATATTTCCGCCATCCCATCAGTCCAGCATGCCTGACTCTGCCTGTTGCCGGACACGTGCATAGGACATGTTCTACAGTTTCGTCCTCT